TCTCTTTCTAGCTCTTTTGCTTAAATCAGTCATTGTTCCAAGCTTTCAAGCTCTGTAACTGTTTTCGTTCCTCTCCTCCGGTGAAGCTTACGTCATTCTGTCATTCTGTCACTGTTCCAAGCTTTCAAGCTTCTGCAACTGTCTTCGTTCCTCTCCTCCGGTGAAGCTTACGTCATTCTGTCATTGTCGTCAGATTTCGACAATTCTCATTCCGGTTTCCCTCTTTCTGGTAAGCCACTGTTTCTCTTGATTTTATTTCTTGTTGCTTTCGAAGAAGCTCTGCTTCATTGTTAATTACCATTGTTGTTTCACCCGTTGTTTCCAAATCATCTTCTTGAATACACACTGTTCACACATCTGTTGATTTCTGCCACTATTCTTGGCTTGACACTCTTGTGCAATCTTTTTGTCTTGATTTCCTGATAGCTTTATCATCATTTTTTATTACGAATTACATTCTTGTTTCTGTTTTCTGTGTCTTTTTCTAGATTCTTGCTTTCAATCCTTGCCTTCAAACTCGGAGGTGCCAATCGCCGAGAAGAGCCTTGATCAAACTCTTCGGGAGATCGATGCTAAGCTCAATGCCGAGAAGGATGCTGAGAAGTCTTCCCAACTGTCTTCTATATCCTACCATTGATGCCGAGTAGTTTTGTTTCCTTCTTTTACTCCTTGTACCTTGTACTTTGTCCGTCTTTGTATGCTTTCAATCCGGCCGACGTGCCATTTTTATAGTCTGAATAATTTATTTTTCAATATTCAGGCCGAAGTGCTTTCTTTCTTCTTTAAATGCATTTCTCTGATTTCTTCTTTGAATGCATGTCTTCTTTTTTCTGCTCTTGTATGATTCTATACTTAGAAAAATTTTCATGTCTTCAAAGTACACCTTGACTGTGCAATCTCTTCGGGTATAATGCCTCTGTCACAACTTCTAATCTTGCTCATCTCGGCCTCGTCCTAACACTTGAAAATATTGTAACAAATATTTTCACAAGTGTTGCTTAGGACTTGTCACTTTCTCAATGTCTTCTATCAAAACTCCAGTTTTCCATATTTCAAGTTTTAATAACCTGGTAGTCTCGACAAGTACGCAGATATTGCTTATGCTTGACTTTAACTTGTAAATTTTTCTCAAAAATTTCAACAAGTGTTTTAACCATCATCCTTTATCATAACCTCGGTTTAATTTCAGCTTGTAAATTTTTCTCAAAATTTTAACAAGTGTTAAACCATCTTCCTTTATCATAACCTCGGTTTAATTATAACTTGTAAATTCACACAGAATTTCAACAAGTGTTAAATATCACATCGGTTTAACTTCAACTTACAAATTCACACAGAATTTCAACAAGTGTTAAATATCACATCGGTTTAACTTCAACTTACAAATTCACACAGAATTTCAACAAGTGTTAAATATCACATCGGTTTAACTTCAACTTACAAATTCACACAGAATTTCAACAAGTGTTAAATATCACATCGGTTTAACTTCAACTTACAAATTCACACAGAATTTCAACAAGTGTTAAATATCACATCGGTTTAACTTCAACTTACAAATTCACACAGAATTTCAACAAGTGTTAAATATCACATCGGTTTAACTTCAACTTACAAATTCACACAGAATTTCAACAAGTGTTAAATATCACATCGGTTTAACTTCAACTTACAAATTCACACAGAATTTCAACAAGTGTTAAATATCACATCGGTTTAACTTCAACTTACAAATTCACACAGAATTTCAACAAGTGTTAAATATCACATCGGTTTAACTTCAACTTACAAATTCACACAGAATTTCAACAAGTGTTAAATATCACATCGGTTTAACTTCAACTTACAAATTCACACAGAATTTCAACAAGTGTTAAATATCACATCGGTTTAACTTCAACTTACAAATTCACACAGAATTTCAACAAGTGTTAAATATCACATCGGTTTAACTTCAACTTACAAATTCACACAGAATTTCAACAAGTGTTAAATATCACATCGGTTTAACTTCAACTTACAAATTCACACAGAATTTCAACAAGTGTTAAATATCACATCGGTTTAACTTCAACTTACAAATTCACACAGAATTTCAACAAGTGTTAAATATCACATCGGTTTAACTTCAACTTACAAATTCACACAGAATTTCAACAAGTGTTAAATATCACATCGGTTTAACTTCAACTTACAAATTCACACAGAATTTCAACAAGTGTTAAATATCACATCGGTTTAACTTCAACTTACAAATTCACACAGAATTTCAACAAGTGTTAAATATCACATCGGTTTAACTTCAACTTACAAATTCACACAGAATTTCAACAAGTGTTAAACATAACCTCGGTTTAACTTCAACTTGTAAATTCACACAGAATTTCAACAAGTGTTAAATATCATCTCGGTTTAACTTCAACTTGTAAATTCACACAGAATTTCAACAAGTGTTTAAACAATGATTTCGGTTTAACTCAACTTGTAAATTGTCCACAAATTTCAACAAGTGTTAAACAATGTTTTCGGTTTAACTTAACTTTGCAAGCTTTTCTCAAGTTTCAACAAGTGTTAGGATTACTGCTAATCTGGGACTCCCAGTGGGATTAGGATAAACTCTCTAAGAGTCTTATCTTAATACAAACTGAAGTCTTCTCTCATTCTAGGACTCTTGTCCCTCATCCAGGTTGAGTTCCCTTTTCATTCTAGGACTCTTGTTCCTTATCCACTTATCTCGGATTCTGATATCTTCGGAGATAACCTCGGCCTTGCCGAGATCACCTCGGCGTCACGACTAGGACACATGGCACCTCGGCTGACACGTCGGCGTCACCTTGCCATGTGTTGGTACTCAGAAAATATATCTCTACACTAGCGGCCAAGCACACGCGATGCGTGTGCAAACTCGTTTAAAATTATAATATTATTTTGATATTATTTTTTCTAATAATATACATATAAACCATATGAATAATTATGTACAATGTAACATTTGATATTAACATATTTGATAAATAAAATTTATGCACATTACAATATGTACACGTCTTTTAAAAATTGAAATATTTACTAATCTTAACTAAAAAACCTGTACAATTAAAATTTATATAAAATCTAAATTTGGTAACATGAGACCGGAGATCCTACAAATCTTGCAAAAAAAAAAATGTATATATAAGATATATTTATCATAAGATTACTAATAGTATACATTGATTAAATTAAAAAATTTCAATCTTAAAATTAATCATAATTATACATGAGTTTGGTTTTATAATTGGGTTATTATGTATAAAGACACAAAAGGTAATTATTGTGTTAATTTTTTATAAACAAAATCTAAAAATTAAAAACTTACATATTGACATAGATTGACATAGTTCATATCAAATGTCACGTTCAATGATCTCTTCAAATTGTTTTGATGCAATTTTTTCCATAGATCTATGACAACATTAAATTACAAAAAATAAGATGGAATTGACCAAAAATGAAGTACGTAACTTTAGTTATACATACAAACCTATAAGCAGATTACCTTGTCACAATGTTGCACATATATTTGTAAGCTTTCAATTTTTGTATCATTCGTTGCCTATAAAACTGAGGGAAAATATCTCACTTCCTTGTAAGTTGATTGTTTGAAAAATTTATAAAATCTAAAATTAATTTGTAAATTCACAAATATGAATATATGGAGCATAGTAGTAAACTTCATAATACTTGATGCAAATACCACATATATGTCCATATTGTCTTTGCTGCATATACTTGCTCTATTAGATATGATAGGAGCTCTGTAAAAAGATTACAATAACTATTAGCAAATATAACATATTGAAATTATTCATATAAAATGTCGTAAACACATTATCATACCGATGTTGTCGTTGCCTTAAAAGCTCTCGCACAATTAATTTTCCTAATTATTTTTTATCAACTTTAATAGAGACCTTCCATCCAAGACTGTATATGGAGAATTGTTTGACCTACATTAATTTAAAAGGTATAGTCAAACACAAAATATATGCGAATATTGTTGGATTAAATAGCCAAAATTTTACAAACATTGTTTTTTGAACATAAGTGAAGCCAATACCTGATTTGTAACTTTCTTAGTTGCAACCATATTTGACTCCTCTTGATAATTCTCCCAAAGCTGAAGTAGCTTTATTTTTTCAAGTATTCCTTCAATCAATAATTATATGAAGATATATTATAAGTATATTAAATGTAGATTAAAAAATGACATAATATAAGCTCAATAAGAACATATTTGGTACATACCTCTTGTATCAATAATTTGGTAACAAAATGTCTTTATAGACTACATTGCGGGTATACACTCCTTCTTCATTATTAACTGAACCCTTTTTATCCAAGACTTTCGTTGTCTGATCTGACACCCCTCGAGATAAAGCAACATATAGTTGTCCATAACTAAATACATGATCCGGAAGGTAAATTCCCACATGTGGAATTGTTTGACCTTGTGATTTATTTATCGTCAACGCAAAACTAAGACGAACTGGAAATTGTGTGCGAGTCATTTCAAATGGAAGTTTTAAGTTTTCCGGAGCCTTTAATGGAATGCGATGCAGGAAAACTCTCGTGCCTTTGAAATGTCCTATTAAAATCTCTGAATTTATGAAATTGTCGTTCAAAGCTCGACACAGTAGCCTTGTGCCATTGCACAAACCAGAAGAAGGGTCAAGATTCCTCAAAAGCATAATTGGGGCTCCCACTTTCAAATGCAATGCATGTGGGGGCATTCCTCCTAGTGAAATGGAATTTAAAAACTCTTGTTGATACAAATTTTGGGTATCATTTTCAACTTTATCAAATGAGTGGTACACTCTTGATTCTCCCAAAAATCTCTGAATTATTTTCTCATTGAGCTTGTCGACATCTTCATTGCGAGGAGTTATTATGCCCCTACTAACCATATACTCGGCGTCAAAAGAATGGTTTCTGATATCAGGATAAATTTCTTCTAATAGTCAAACTATTGATTCTTCGCCATTCCATGGTATTGCCATCGATGTTGGTACTTTGATCATTTCATCTATAATGGTAGGTTGTACACCATTTCCAACAGATAAAAGAAATTCACCAAACTGTTGGTCATTTATAGAGCGCATGTTTTGCTTTAAACGAAGTATTTGAATGTGACTCCAAAGAGGTGATTTGACTATCGATGCAGCAATAGTTTCAGCTTTTGTACCTTTAGGAACAACTGGAAGTACTTGTCGAAAATCACCACCAAACACCATAATTTTGCCACCAAATGGATAATCAACACCAGTGATGTGTATGAGTGTTCGATTCAAAGCTTCAAAAGCATAACGATTTGTCATTGTAGCTTCATCCCAAAGGATGACTGTTTCACGTCTAATCAGTTCTGCCAAATCTGATTGTTTAGTAATGGAACACACGGACGAAGCCTCTAGATTTAATGAGATCTTAAATCTTGAATGGGCTGTCCTTCCACCAGGTAAAAGTGTAGCTGCAATTCCAAAAGTTGCTGTTGCAATGGCAATTCGACCTTGACTTCTCACTGAGGCCAATAGTGCACGATATAAATATGTCTTCCCAGTTCCTCCTGGGCCATCCACAAAGAAGATTGCACCAGTATTACATTCCACAGCCTCCATGATTGAATTAAATGCTAAGTGTTGATCACTATTTAATGTGGCTATAGAATTTAAGTCTTCTCGAGGAGTTACAATGACAAGCTCATCTTGTATGACCTTTGGAACTGTTGAATTATCATCCAAATTCATTGTCATCTCAGGCAAATTGTATTCTGATATGTTCTTATTATGTTGTAGTAGGAGACAGTTTATATCTTGCAGGGTTTTGTTAAGGATATACATATTATTCATACTATTTGAAGAAATGTAATCTTCAATCAAGCAAGGATAAATTTCATCCCACAAACTTCGCACCCCTGTTGGCACACAGTAAACCAAAATTGTAACAAACAATCTCCTTAAGTTGATGGCATGTGCATGGTTGTAGCTTCTAACAAACATTATTGTATGCTATCATCATGCTCTAACAAACCATGATGTTCAGTTGCTTGTTTAAAAGTTGGGTACGCAATTCCATTAACCATTAACAAATGATCGAATGATTTTGGTCCTCGGATATGATTGAGTAAAATTCTCAGGTAAAATCTCTCACCTTCTAATGGCGAAACTGTGTAAATTCTACCAATTACTCTTTGATGGTTCAATCTCAACTGCCAAATCTTTGCATTATTGCACCATCTATGATGTTGCGGGATCTCTCGATATAAGTACCGATTTACAGTTTCATTATCAACATTTAATTGAAAGAATTGGGTAAGCATTGTTCTGGAATAATACTCATCGCCTAAAACATTTGTGATGTCTTGGAACGTATAAAACCTCACTTGCTGCTTATTTAGTAAGTGTATTTGGAGGCATTCTACACTAGGAGTCATTTTGGTCATTGGGAATTTAAATGTTTTCCACAATGCTTCTAGAGCACAAACCCATCTTCCATTTATGAACTCTATGAAATGTTGTACTTCATCATAATTAGGACCTTGACGAACTTCAAGTGCAACACGGTCAGGCCCTTTATAAACATATTTGTATAAATACTTCACACTTGTAACACTACTGCAAATTTCAAGATTGATATGACAATCATATTTCAAGAGCAACCATGGATTGTACGGAATGACCCAACTATTATCCACCAAGACGCTTGGGTTACTCTCTAAAGGAACTGACTCCCCTTCTCTTCTTCAATAAACAAGATATGAATCGTTTCCAAGTGTAGTAATGGAAGAAAATGGCTTTGGGAAACATATTTTGCACTGACCATTTGTCATATACGGGGACTGTTCATTGTACATTCCACATGGGCCATGTATCATGTGTTTGAGAATTACACTGTATAATCTAGGCTCTAATCTCTTGTCTAGAATTTAAGCTCTGACAATGTTATCATAATCATCAAGAGTGCGTAACTTATCATTTTCATCCAAAATAATGACCATGCGGGCATGTGGTAAGCCTCTTTTTTGGTACTCAATAACATATGCATATGCTAGAACCTTCCCGAGTACATGTTTCATAAGAATGTCGGTCTTCATCTCATCAAATTTCGAATGAAATATTCTTGTTAGCAAATCAGGACGATCATGTGGTGACTATCCAGGTAGTAACTCAACTTTAATTTCAGGCCAATTTGGATTGCAGGTCATTGTAAGGAAAAGATCAGGTTTTCCATACTTTTGGATCAAAGCCATTGCATCTTGATATCGCTGATACATGTCTCGTGTGCTACCAACAAATGACGATGGTAATATTGTTCTACGACCAACATTACCTAAACAAATATTTCACAAAAGAAAATTATATATATATGTATGGATATAAACAAACATGCGTACATGTCATTGTAATACTGTATGTGACAATTTGTACCTCCATAATTTTCACCAACATGTACTGCATCTAGAAGACCTTGATAAAAATCTGCTCGAATGTGATTCTGATGAGTATGTATCCATCTTAATTTGTTGGACTCAATCTTCACGTAATTATCTACGACATACTGTTGTAAGAGGCAACCTCCTCGAAGAAAAAGAGATTTATCACCAGGGCGAATCTAAATTGAGAGTATTTGAATACTTATAAATAATTAAAAGTAAAGATTTTATAAGAAATAATTATAGATTAAATAACTTCGGCGAAGTAATTTTTTAATATTATGTGTACGTCGTTACCTGTAGCATATAAGAATAGAAATCACATGTTACTGTTCTGCCATCATTACTTTTGGTATTTGTATCCCATCCATATGAACCATAGGGTAACAACAGAGGATACTGTAATGGATCATAGTATCCGACAATATCAGCAATATTTAGGAGGTGACCACTGGTTGATTGGACAATGATATCTCTTGGTTTTAAATTTCTAACTTCTTTGCCATCTACTAAAACGGAAGCAACTTCAGGAGTAGTAGGAAGGTCATATTGGGGCCCATTACGTAGTTGCTCTTTAATTTGAAGTCTGCATTCATGTATGTCTGGACGCTGAGCCAATTGGCGAAACGTGTGTACAAATGGATTATGAGCATTTAAAATATTCTTTATCTTGTCAAGCAAATCCAAGTGCAATTCTTCATTTTCAGACATTCGATTCTCATTCTCGTGGTTAGTGTCATAAACATACAGCTGCAAATATCTCGGTCTGTCGCTAGAATTTGGTAAGAGACTCCCAATCTTATGATATATGGCTCCTTGTGCACGAAATGTGTACACATCTCGAGTTCTTGTTGCTAAGTTTTCATCAACATGAACACCCATTGAAGTGAATGAGAAAACATGATTGTAGGCTCGAATATGTTGTCTGAAATGACGACCCTCCACTGTTTGGTCAAAGAAAATATCAATCATCTCATTTGGAGCTGTTACTGGTGGCAAAACAATTGTTCCATTATTACAACACATGGTAGATGTTTCACGGTGGAACAATCTTGCGTTGCAATGTCTATAAGTAGTTGGAGCAGGGAACTGCATTCTTTGGAACCTTTCACTTTCATGAAAATTTCTTGCACAATTGTGATATCTCCTATGGATAAATGATCGATTATCTGGAATGTCTTCATCACTCAAAGCATCCTGATTGTGTTCGACATAAGGAAAAATCCTATGACAATACATGTATGATGTATTGGTTTATTAGTAACACAATAGTATTTATTTGAAAGTGTTTGAGTTGCATGTTCAATATTAAATGTAATTGTACTGCATATCATATTTGCATGTTCATCTTTTTTATATTTATTGTAAAGGTTGTTTGTTTTGTAAAAGTACTTAAACTAAATAATTTATTTTTACCTTCCATCTGAACTTCGCGAGGATCTTGTCTGTTACCACTTGTGCTTCCATGCTCATAAGTCGAATTAGTAGGTGCATATCGGGGTAAGTCGATACGTGCGAAGAGTATACATTCTACTTTTCCGTCTAAAAACTTAGTCACAACCAAATTGCCTTCTTCGTGAATGGTTGGCAAAATTGTTGTTTCGCGGCCTACGCCATCCTGTTCTATTTCTTCTTGGGATTGCATCGAAAATTTTAACATGTATACTAACAGTTAAAATTATAAATAATAAAACTAATTGAATATTAATGTCAAATTTAGAAGTGTAAAGCTTACAAAATAATAATGTTTTATAACATTTGAATACACCTACTTTAATTTGTTCATCGCCTTGCTAGTTGTTGTTCGCGCTGTTCAATAGTCAAAGCAGCCCTTCTTTGTCTGCATATTACGCCAACTTTCCCTTTGATTTCTCTGTGTTGCACATTAAAGCTCGCACTTTGTTTCGCGAATAAACAATCTTCGCCTACGCTGGCAAGACGACGTTGCTCTCAATCTTGCTGAGCATTGTTCAGTGCCTAAGTTTTGAAGGCGTAAATGTTCGAATTCTCTTTGTGGTTGTTCAGTTTGAGCATTTGGTTCTGAAGCTGAGCGTTGCCTCCTCTGTTGTAGGTATAAACGACGTCGTTCACGATTTTGTGTTGCACATGTCTCAAATTTGATGTGTCAGGGTAATCGTGATTCATTTTTCCTAAGATTATTAGCAAACTAACACTTACGCAGATGAAATCCAGCTATCTTTAAAATGTGCCTACATTATATAAAATTATGTAAGAGGCAGTAATAATATATTATGAGATTGTTAACTACAACGCGACTCCTATACTCACAACATAATAAGCTTTATATTTTTTATGTAAGTGTTTTCATATGTTTGTTTTTATATTTTTATAATGCATATTAATTTAAGTACTAATCTCATTTTGTAGAGAATTAAATAAAATTGCAAGTGAAAGAGATTACCTGGTAATGATGAGTCAAGCGTGTGCAACTTCAAATATAATTTAAAAACAAACTGAATATAAATTTTTCAAACATTCGATTAAACTATATAAAAAAAGAATTTAAAATACTTACAGTCAAAAGAGAAGTAGAAAATAAGTACTACTAAAACACGACTGTAGAAGTTATTTGTTCTGACTATCACAAACTCATTACGTAATAATATAAAAAAATCATATGAAATTTTGGGACCACTGAATTCTTTCTTACCAAAAAATACACTTCAAAACAAACATATGAATAAATAAAGGGTTTTTTTATTATAATGGTTACAATAAAAAAGATTAGATATAAATGAAGGAAAATAAGAAAAACTTTTAAAAAATCCAAAAAAAAATGAAAAAAAAAAACTTTCAAAAAAAAACCTAATAACACAACCAAACATTTCATTTTCTATAAAAAAAAAATTTTGTTTTTATTTTTATTTTTATAGAAAGTATAATTAACAATATTACAGGCAAAAAAATATAACACAAAATAATGTATGATTAGGTGTTCATATTTTGGTTTCTCAAGTTTCAAGCATAAATCCAACACTCGTGTAGCATACTGACGGTCAAAATAGATAAGTGTAGACACCTTGCTTGGAAGTATACAATAATCAACTATCACTTTAGATACCTACAACTTTTTTTGAATTTTGGCCATCCATGGATGCGTTAAAATTTCATGAGATTTGGCAAAACTTTGTATAATTTTAACTAAAAAATTACACAACAAAAATTCATATAAATAACTTAAAATAAAAAATTACATATAAATAAAAATATAAATAAAACTAAAATAAAAATAGAATAAAAAATTACATATTTAATTTTTTAAGCATATATATATATAAAAAAATTACATATTTGATTTTTTCAAGCATAGAAAAAGAAATTATATATTTGAACCATTACAAACTGAAGCAATAGAATTGTTTTACAATTATTCAAGTTTTATGCATTCAAACTCAACATTCATATAGAATACTTACAGTCGGAGCAATTAGGGTGTCGATAGAGAATAATCCGAAAAGTTTATTCTGAACAACACAAAATGATAAAGCAACCTGCCAAAAATATAACAAAGGAAAATAATGGTCAGTTTTTTTCTCCAAGAAATCGATTAAAATACTTTTTTTTTCTTTTGCTTTTTAATGAAAGAAATAAAAAGTGTAAGTAATAATGGTACACACAAAATAACAAAACAGGAACCCATATTCTTGGAACACTTGCAGTAAAAAATATTTAATATACGACAAATAAATAATAAACTAAAAAAAAATTTAAAAAAGACTATTATTTTTTTAAGATTTTTTGAAATAAAACAAATTTTAATGAACATTGAATTGTTTTTAAGAAAAACACACACACAAAATTAAACAATCAAACAATCTAATTTTTTGAAAACATAAATTGTAAACACACAAACACAAATGTTGATATCAACCAAGAAAAATAATGTCAAATTTTTTTTTTTTTTGAACCTGATAACACAATAAAACGTTTCATTTTCTATAAATTTTGTATAGAAAGTATGATTAACCCAATGCGTACAAAAGCTTATTATTAAGTCTAAAGAATTAAGGATATTTGTGATATACAGAATCTTTTTATATAATACACCTAATATTTTTTAGTTGATGATTCAAATTATTATTATTATTATTATTATTATTATTATTATTATTATTATTATTATTATGTCTATAGTTTGATATTATTCTATAGAAAATACTTACAGTGCTTTACATATTTGATTTTTTCAAGCATAGAAAAGAAATTATATATTTGAGCATTACAGCTGAAGAAGCTAGTCACGGC